TATGACTAATAAAACAATAAAAAAGTTAAAAAAAAAACAAAGAAAACAAAAACACTGAAAACTAAAAAAAAAAAAAAAAGAAGTGGTGCTGGAAAACTATCCACATGTAGAAGACTACCACTGTATCCTGTATAAATATCATTTGAAAATGGATCAAAGAACTTACTGTAAAATCCAAAACTTTGGAACTACCAGAGGAAAATAGTTCAAGAAATAGGCATAGGCTGTAACTTTCTGAATGGGACTACAATAAGTCAAGAAATAATAGCAATAAGTCAAAACTGGTATTGCATCAAATGATAAAACTTCTGCACAGCCAAGGAAACAATTACCAGACTGAAGAGAGAGCTTCCAGAATGGGAGAAAATCATTGCCAGCTTTCATCTGACAAAGGTTTAATATTTAGAATATAAGAACTCAAAAAATAATCCAGTCCACAAATGGACAAATGAATCTAAAAGAAATTTCTCAAAAGAAGTACAAATAGCCAATAAATACATTAAAAAAATGTTCAACATCCTTAGTTATAAAGGAAATGCAAATCAAAAACATGTTGGAATTCCACCTCACCCTAGTCAGAATGTCTATCATCAAGAAAACAAAAAGCAACAAATGCTGGCAACAATATGGGTGGCGGGGGGGGCAATCAGAGAGGGAGGTGAATGAACCCTTCACACTGTTGGTAGGAATGTAAATTTGCCCAGCCACTATGGAAATTAGTATGGAGTTTCCTCAAAAAACTAAAAATAGAAGTATCATGTGATACTGCTATATGATTTCTTGGTATATACCCAGAGGAATCAAAGTCAGCATACACTACAGATGACTGCACATTGAGGTTTATTGCAACACTAATCATAACAGTCAAGTTATGGAATAAAAATGTGATATCTATATCTATCTATCTATATATGTATAGACAGATATATAGATATATACACATACACACACATACACAATGGAGTATTATTCATTATTCACCCATAAAAAAGAATAAAATTATGCCATTTGCAGGAAAATGGGTGGAACTAGATCATCATGTTAAGCAAAATAAACCAGACTCAGAAAGACAGATAACACATTTTTCTCTCATACTAGGAATCTATATTTCAAAAAAACTGACATGAAAGTCGATGGGAGACTATGTGGGGGAGACCAACCAGTAGGGCAAGGGGTACAAGAGAGAGGCATAGTGGGTGGATAGGATTGATGTATATTGTCTACATGGATGAAGATGTCAGAGTGAAACCAATTATTTTCTATGATTAATATATCGAATAAAAATGACTTGAAAATGGCTACATACAGTTATACATAGAATTGTGCAATCTGACACATTAAGCCTAGAAGAATCCCAGGCTGCTGGCCCAGACATTCATTCCATAGGTGAGGAAATGGCCCAGAGAGGCAGAGCCTTGTTAACAAGGTAACTTTGATGAGGAAAAAGGCCTCTACTTTGTGGAAAGAAAGAGAAATCACCACATCTTAGTCCTTGTGGTGATAGGCAGCTCCCACTTTGGCTTGATGCATGTCCCTGGGGCAGTAAGATTAATTAGACATATATATAGAAGCCTGTGCCTGGCATATGGGAGTCCACAAGTTCTATATCTATCCTAGCAGAAATATTTTTTCTCTTGACAGCCATCAGCTTGGATGATCAGCATGATGTGGAGGCATGGATTTAGAGCAGCTACCCACTTTTCTTTCCATGGCATCAGTATACCCCAGTAGTGACTTAATTAGGAGAGCACCAGTCACTAGCATGAGAATGTCAGACTCACATACAGAGCAGATAGCTTCTCTGCTGTTATGAAGTTTGTGACCTACCAGGGGAGAAAAACATTAAACAAATAAATTGCCTGACAATTAGGATATGCTTAGAACTTCAAAGAAAAATTAAATAAGACCTAGAGAGATCATTGTATACAGGATTTGTTTTGCCATTCCTTAATTGTTAGCCTCCAGTAAATACTGCTAATTGGTTATAGTATTCTTTTCGTTAAACTCAGACATAACTTCAGAATCCTTCTCAACACCGCCTACTGGCAATGCTGTCAATCAGCATCGTCCTCAAGATCTGACCCATTCCTAGCCATCCCTCTTCCTTTCCTTTTTGCTGATGAGCACACTGGCCAAAGGATGGCAGTCACATGCTTTAGGACTTCAGTGAGAGCCCAAGGTAGGCCCAGTGTCTGACTAGTCTGGCTTCCAGGCTGGGCTCTGCTCGCCATTCATGAGTGTTGGGTGAAGGAGGTAATAGGGGTGGCTGCAGATGATTTGATCTAAATTTGCTATGTTCTAATCTGAAGTTTCTTCTTGGAGGCCAACCTGTTTGGGGGCATTGCAAGCTATAATTTACATTATTTCAGAGCTTCAATAGCAGGGCTGCTCTTTGTTCTCATGAGTTATTTCTTGAGGAAAGTACATGTTTTGCGGGGAGTTTGAGGCCAGTCTTAAACTGAGGACATTACCACAAAGGCCTAGTCTCTTATTTTCTTTCCCAGCATTTCTTCTCATGTGCTTAAATGGGTGAAACTTTCTGAGTCTTGTTTCCTGCTCAACCAAGCTTCAAGAAAGAGAGAGAAAGGGCAGCTCTTCTGTCAAAGAGGTCTGTTAAGTCTGGCAGATTGTGTAGGACTTCACTTTGGAATTTATTTTGCAGCTTATCAGACATTTGTAATTCTTACATCTCCTCCCCCCATTTCATAGGACTTAAGTTGTGATTCAACACCAATGCTTTCCTAAACATGCATTTTTTTTATTCCACAATGTTCATGTATCTAAAGTTTCTTTCCATTGCATAAAAAGATGTTTAATATTTCAGAAACTTTTTTATTTTTTGGCAGTACTGGGGCTTGAGCTCAGGGTCTCATACTTGCTAAGCAGCTGCTCTACCACTTGAGCCATTCCACAACCCCTTTTTTGTGACGGGTTATTTTTGACGTAGAGTCTTGCAAACTATTTGCCCAGGCTGGCATCAAACCGTGATCCTCTTGATCCCTCCCTCCCTAGTAGCTAGGATTACAGGTGTAAGCCACTGGCACCCAGTTATATTACAGAAACTTTTAAGTGATTTCTCATTTTGGGCTCAAATTCACAGAGGGCAGGATTTGTTTTGCATGGACATTCTCAATTCTATTTTGGAAACATCTCTGAAATCCAAGCCATTTCCTTTGTTTGGCTTTATTCTTTTTACCCTTTGCTGGGCTCTATCCATAGGGGCAGGGGTACAATTCAGGTTTATGGGAGCCCTGATCTTAATGTACGAGAGAGAGTGTTCTTCACAAGGTGAAAAGAATGGGAAGGCAGATCTTGGGAACCCTAGGATGTCTGATTTAATTGCCTTTTTTTCTTTTGGTGGTACTGTGGATTGACTTCAGAGCCTCATGCTTGCCAGACAAACATTCTACTACTTGAACCGTGCCCCAGTCCTTTTGCTTTTTACTTTGTTTTTCAGATAGATTCTTATACTTTTGTCTGGTAAACCTCAGACTGCAATTCTCCTATTTCCACCTCCTGAGTAGCTGGAATTAGAGACATGTACCACCATACTGCTCATTTTTAAGATATGGTCTTGCTAACTTTGCCCAGGATATCCTCAAACTGTGATCCTCATATCTCCACCTCCTGAGTAGCTTGGATTATAGACATGAACAACCATGTCTGGCCCTGATTTAGTTCTTTTGCACATTCTAGCACTTCTGAATTTATAAAATCTAGAGAAACAGGGAGAAAGTCTGAAGCCACAATTCCCAAGCATTTGGGTTCTTTATTCATGGTGAGTTGAGTTGAGTCTGTTCATTCAAACTCAAGCAACCCAGAACTGCAATTTATTATCCACAGAACATCATATAATTACTTCACCTCTAAGTAAAGTAATGCTTCTCATCTATAAAGTGGAGGTACCCAACATTGCATCGCTGCAATTTAGTGGGATAATGCAGATAAAGGACCTAAGCATAGTGGCTGGTGACAAGTTCACTCTTGATAAATGTTAGTCTCTATGATGAGAAATTAAAGTGTTCATAATGATGTAATTCTTAGGTTGAGTATTTAATACATGGATAATGTTAATTCTATTCCAGATTAGAAAAATGTTTTCCAAAGCACTGCCCATATAATAGCAATCACAAGTCAATGGCGTTATATCATACCCTAATAGACTCATAGAAAAATAGACCCATCTGTCTCATAAATGTTCATCTTTTTTTCCAGTTCCTCACCTTTAAAGCAATGCCACTGGTAAAGCAATAATGTCTTCTTTTATGAATTAACTGTTTTTCATTGTTCTGAGAGTATCACCTTCACCTTAAACACACAAATCTGTGTGCATGCTCTTTAACTACAGATAAAGGGAACAGTTAATGTGCTGCAAAGCAAAGAAAATTAACTTTAAAAACAGGGCATTCTTCTAACAATGTTATGTAGAGCAGATTTCTCAACTTTGGCTCTGTTGATGGGTCACTGGATAATTCCTTGTTGTGGGGGCTACCCCATGCATTGTAGGATGTTTCATAGTACCCTGGCCTCTACTCACTGAAGGCCAACATCTCTCCCTCCTCTTCCTCAGCCCCCCAACCTTCCACAGTTATGACAACCCTGAATGCCTCCGATAGCCCTCCTCCAGTTGAGAACTGCTGGCACGATGGAAGAAGGAGCCAGGTCATAGAACCGTGTGACCTTGAGGCACTGGACAGAAGAACCTCATGTCCAGATTTGCAGGAGTTCATCGAACTGCTTTGGGCATAGTGATTCCCAAACACCTACTAGAAAACTCAGAGTACCTGTTGATACCACAAACTTAGATAGCAGGTTGAATAATCAGCACTGTAGTTTTATTTTGAGAAATGCCTTGGATTTAATTTTATTTCATTCTTTTTCTCCTCGTTTTGATTTTTGCAATTGCCAATGGCATCAAACTGGTTTCACAGTTAAACTTAATTTCTTATATAATGATTTCTTTCTTTCTTTTTTTTTTTGTTTTCTCCCTTATTTTTCAGCTCCCTCAGGCTCAAAAGGTAAAGTCTTTTTTGTCACATCCCAGTCATTCCCAGAACTCACAAGTCATGCATGTCTCCATGGTGTTGTGTGGTTGGCACTGTTCGTGACCAGTGAAATGGTTTTGTTTTGTTTTGTTTTTTTCTTACAGCTTCAGAAATCTGAAGTTGTGCAGGAACACAGAGACCCACAGACTGTATTCACGGCACCCATGCCACATCAGTCCCACCAAAGAACCCTGTCATAGCCAGTGTTTGAAGGGTGAATCTGTGCCCAACTATTTTCCTAAGAATTGTCAAATCATAGATCAAGAGTAAGTCTGGAAGGCTGTTTGGGTTGCTCAATTGGTAAGAGTGCCTTGCCTAGCAAGCATGAGGCCCTAAGTTCAAATCCCAGTGCTTCCAAAAAGAAAAAAAGAAAAAACTCAAGAGTAAGTCTGGCACATTCCTTCAAACATAACATTCCAGGCCTTCTCTGGGATACTCTCCCAAAGAGACAGATAATGTGATTAATTAGTGTGGCCTACTGATGAAGTTTAAATTCTGGGCTCCTAAGCCAAATCTCTGAAAACGCCCACAGGTTTCATTAATTATAAAACCAGCACTTCCTTTGCATGTCTCATTGCCTGTAACACCCAGAGAGCATTAGAGCAGACTTCTTGCAAATGGCCAGACCCTTTCACTGGTCCTCATTGTCTACTTGAGATGATCTGGTTCTACCATTTAGAATGTTCTCTCTCCAGAAAGACTCCATGTGGTTGCAGTGATGGCTTGGCAGTGTTGTCCCCATAGCATGTCATTGTATCCTAAGGACAGTTATGGCAGAAAAAAAACATGTCATGCCATGCTTTCTGCATCATTTTCATGTATTTCACAAACATAAGCAAGACTTCTGAAAGACACAGCAATTTCTGGGGACCAGATGTGGGTTAGTTTAATTTCAAGAGTTAAGGTAAGAGTTAAGGTTCACCATTGTGAAATTTAAGCATCATCTCTTAAGCTTTCCATTTCAGAACAGTGATGATTTGGTTCCTTCTCATTGAGATATAGCACAACTGCTCTACAAAAGACAGTCTGTTCAGACCATATGGACAACCAGAGGCCTAGAAATCATTAGACAATTACTCAAATATATTTGAGATATTTAAACAAGGCAAGACATGCTAGTGTGTGACTTGGCTTGTGGTGATGTTTGATTACACTTCAATGCCATCATGAAAGGACTGAACACTTCATTAAAAGTTAAAGTATTCAAGGATAGCAACAGCTTCCAGAGTAAATATATGGTCAGAATTCCAGATTGTTTGGGAAGCTTGATATCTTTGATACGACATGCTTTCTTACCTTCCCACATTTAAAAATTTGTTGTAAAGAGACTTAACAAATCCTGTGTTCAAAAGTGGAACTGCCTCTCCTTACTGGCATTTATTCATCAAAGTTCCACTGATCCATACACAAAAGCATTCCTGTTATAGAAGATTCCTCATGAATTGGAGGTGCTGTCAGCCACTGAGTATTAAAAAAAGTCCAAACAAACCAAGACAGAAGATGGTAAGAACAAATGGTGCTGGTCTATTTTGCGTTCATTTCTTCTGTCATCGTGTATTGACTCACATTATATGCCCTGCCTCACATGCTCTACTGTAATCATATGAAGTCCAGAGTCAAGGAGATTCTTCAAATGCTTTGCTAATCCTTTTTCTGTCTCCAGAAGATGGTAGACTGTCCAAGGGATATGTCCCATAGCCCTATCTAAGAAGGAAGAGTTCTGCCTCCTGTTCCTATCATGCCTAGTAATTATCTTTTATCTCTATTAAAATAGAGACGGTACTTACCTTTTAAAAATTAATAAGCTGTCCCTCACCATCCTTCCCTTCCCCTCTACAGTATTGCCTCAGTAACATTTGTAGAGGCCTTGTCTAGAATAACTAGGTTATCACAAGCCTCACTTGCTCTCAGATAGCCTGTCTTGTGGCCAGATCAGTGAAAGAATGTGGTAGTTTCACCAGTTCATGACCATGGCCACATCACTTAACCTCTCTGTAAGCTCTCTGGCTTATAGTTACTTAATGAGAATGATAGATGACTTTTCCAGTTTTGTTATGAGAATCATTTCTCAATCTTGTGTCTAGCATAGAGTCTGACATATGCTAGACATTCCCAAAATGTAGCTCCAATGACCATTTGACATGGCTTGTCCCTTGATGCTCCAGAGCAGATCAAGGGAGCAGCCATGTGGGAGGTGGTGGTCTGGAACCTCTGCACAGTGTTTTGTGGTTCTGACTCAAATCTAATAAATAATCAAGAGATGACAAAAGAGCCAAGCAGGTATATGGTGTGTCTCCTGGCTCATTAGAAACTCTGCAGGAACTGGCTACACCTGCTTCATGGAATAAAAAAGAAATGGAGAGTGAACTTGAAATCCCAATGAAGCAAAAACTTTCAGGGTAAAGTTGGTGGTTTTGACAGATATTCCCAATGCCTTTGACATTACCCGTAGATTTCAGCCATCAATGGACATGATTGTAATCAATTCCTTCTAAACCCAAAAGTTTGTTGTTCTTGGGGTGAAAGGGAGGCATCTCAGCCACTATGTCTTTGGCCCACATTTCACATGAGGTTATGAGCACATACATTGAACCATCTGGTGTCTGCATTTGTGCTATGTTTTTATTGGAATGTGTCTTTGTATCATCTGCAAGTGTTTTCTCTATAAATATTTTAAATAGTTATGTCTCTGTAAACATGCTTATTTTAATCTCTTGGCTGATCTACAACTTAAAATGACCCATTTGGGTGTCCTTCGTATGTGTAGCAGACATTAATGATCGTTGTCTATAAGTTACGGTTTTTATGATTATAATATTTTGAGGGTCTTCCAAAATTTCATTCTGGACCCTTATTACAATTTTCTAGAATAATGGTTTGCAAAAAAGAATTTTTTTTCATGTAATTGTTAAGTACCTCCAAGATAATTCTTAGGTCTCATAAATTTCAACCCTTGATACAATATTGGGATGGAACCAGCTACTGATGCTCTTGATGAATGTTGAACATTTTCACCAAATATGGAGGCAAGGTCCTGAACTCTTGAGTAAAAGCCATGTAGCAATTCAGGTTCAATGCCTTCAATCCTCATAGATGAATTCTCTTGGTGGAAATTGAACCAGTTTCTCCAATGGATTGATTATGCTTGAATTCCAAAAAGAGAAGTCCATGTTTGAGCAAGGTTTGCCTTACTTTCTCTATCACATGGAAGTTCTTGACTTCTGCAAAACTAAATGAGAGATGTCATTTTATAAGGATAACATAGTGGAATCATCCAAAGCCAGCTGTAAATGTCAGTAGTCAGACAACTGAATAAAATGTTTTTACCTGCATTTTCATGCAAGTAGGTTCTGTCTATAGGAACTACACATCAGTTATTTGTTTAATTTAATCACTATTGACTTAGTCTGTTTAGAATGGGCCTTGAATACCTAATCAGTCGTACCCTTTGGGGAATTCCAAATCTGGCTGGTTGCATAGGTTACCTTTTCCAGAATTGGTGTCTGACCCTTTCATTTTCTGCTACATTGCCACAACTTTGGAATTTACCAAAGACCATTTCTTGGTACTTTCCTAGGTGCTTTGTCTCTTGCCTGGCACCCTGTTAGTTAATATTAGCCTGTCTGATGAGGCATAAGCATTTTTCTCAAAACCATAGATAAAGCTAAGCACATCTCTAACCCTGTTTGGAACAGCGATTGATGCCTTCAGAACTACACAGTATGGCAAAATGATCTCTGTTTAATAGCCCAACCACTTGTTTTGTTTCCTGTTAGGAATAGCTTAACTTGCCTTCTTGAACAAACACAGCAGGGTTCAAGATCTGTTGTTCTATGCCTGCTGAGATATTCTGTGCTGCTTAACTTGGGACTTGGGACGGCATAAATTAACTTCTTAAATGGAGGTGGATTTTTGGTCTTTCTTTCAGGATAAACTGTTTTATTAATTCCCCTATTCTCCAGTGTAAATGGGATCCTAAATTCATTTGCATTTTCTTTATTTCCTTGTTAATATTGTATGCTGGGGGAACAAATCCAAAGCCTGCCTTCTCTCCTTCTGCCTTTCCTCCTCCCCTCCTCTCTCTTTTTCCTTCATTCCTTCTTTTCTTCCCTCCTTCCTCCTTTCTCTCTTGTTCATCTTGTTCTTTAGGTACAAAGTTATAGAAGTAGAATTTAGCCTTATCTCAGTGTAATCAGATTTCAGCAATTGTCAGGCATCATTTATCATTCTTTGCCTCATTTTACTTCTGTGCTTTGAACTATTGAGTTAACTGTCATTGAAAATAGAATATTGAAAGTTTTGGTTTATGACTTGTTTGCTTTTACCTCTCCTTCTTTGCACATAAACCATTATTTCTTGTTTTGATGACCTTGTTTTTATCCTTATCATTTACTCTTTTATAAGAATCTATACAGGCATCTTTTGTATGCATTCCCAAGCTGGGGCTGCTAAGATTAATATACTCAGAGTCTGAAAGATGATGGTAGCACAGTTTAAATTACTAAATCTAGTTTGTGAGTAAGGCAAGCTAAACAGAAACTAGAGCAGGTCTAGTCACTTCATCTCTCCCCATGGCCAGTGTGATAGACTCCATGGAAATCTGAGTGATAACGTGTTACTCAACCTTAATGGTGGTCACTTAGCTAAGTATTCTATTCTCTGCCATATTTCTGTATTGAGTATGTCTGTGGCAGCTCAAGCATGCTACACTGCCACTGAGGAAGTAGGTGAAATTTACAAGTTTCACATCCATGGGAGTCTTGGCAGACCCCTTTCCTGTGGTTCTGTCCAACCCTGTATTTGAGACCATAAGTAAAAGAATGCAAGACACTCCTTTCAAAATACATGGCTTCCTGATGGTGGATATCCCACAGGGCAACACACTGGCATGCCTGCTGAGGCCCCATGCTGGCCTATAATCCCACACACCCAGAGCTCTGTTCAGGAGTAGGGTGCTATTGCCATTTCTTTTT